TTTTCTCTGAAGGATTGCGCGTATCCGGTGGGAACACCGCGCGAGCACTGACGAGGTTCGTCGTGGTGTGTTGGATGTGGATAATCGCTCTCTAAAAGATGTAATCACTCTACACTGCCTCCGATGGTTTGGTCACGTGCTGCGTCGGTTTGTCCATCGTCTTTCCTTCCGTGCTCTTATTACACATTATGGGCAAGGCTGGAAGAAACATCGCGGCGGTCAGACTATGACTTGGCGTAGGGGTATGAAGAAACGATCATCAGGATTCGCTTCGGTTTATTCAGCCCGCATTTCGGGTAGGGGTCCAAGGGATGAGGATTGTCGTTGGTTAGAGACGCCAAGAATAGAATAGAAGAATAGAATAGAAGTCAGTGACGCGAATGCTGTACGCTCTACCTGTCGAAATCCCCTATTCCGTAAAAAAAACGACAAACTAACACAAAAAGATATCAAAAGTGTACGGTGAAACACAAAAGTTGTTATTCCGGTTATTTTTTATTTTCCATTGTAACTGTTTATTTTTCTTTTCACTCTGTTCTGTATCCCAATCTACCCATCCCTTGTTATTGCTATTATTGTTGTGGCGTTAGCACCATGCTTGTCCTCAAGCCGGTGATAAATAATATATAATATAGTAGTGTAAAGATTTTGCTCCTTACGTTCTCCAGTTTGTTGAGAGTCAATGACGGGAAGGAAAGAGTAAAATTTTCTGCTCGGCTGATTGCCCCTTGTTAATTATATCTCACACGTATTTCAGACGCATGTACTATCAGACTGATGTAATTCACCCTTTCGGAGCATTCACAATAAACTTTCTCTCTTCCACCGCTTCCAGCTTCCTAACCTGATCAATTCGAATCCAGTGATTGCCATCGAAATCCTTGAGGTGCTTATTGATGGGGTTCAGAAAGAAGAGTGAGTAAAATCCCTGTTGTTCACGCACGTTTTCATTGTCGAGACTCAGTCTGTAAGTAGTATGCTGTTTAAGTGATATGCCTATGCCCATCAGGATTTAGTACACGATGCGTCGCCAGCATGGGAGTAACAATAAATATCCAATCCACATGGAGAGTAGAATTAAGTTTCTCAAATTACAGACTTCAAAGCGCCGGTCTTCATCGCCGCAACTGCTCCGCTGCTCCAAAGCTTTCCTTTTGACGCTTTATCCGGTCTATCACACTCACCGGAACGTGTAATTTATTGTTCTTACTTTCAGATTGATACTCTCACAACATTCGTCGTCCTGCGGCATGTGTGTCTGGAACGTTTGGCCATCTTCTGTTTTCACAGCCAAATAGTTGATCGTGTTGCAAAATATATGCCTCTCCACCTTGTAATTAAGCTTCCGGGCGGAATATTCGTTATCTATTTATTATGTATCAATATACATGGATAGAAGAGTTATTTAATTATTTGTTTGCTCTTCATTTGGGTTACTATTTTGTTGATCAGTAACCACTGTTTATTCCATTTCGCCTGTTCGCCGAGCTTGGCAATTTGTTTGAAAACGTTTTATCACCAGCCCAGGTGACATCATCAGTGCT